AAAATTTAGTGCCTGGCATCGCGCTGCAGATTGTTGCGGCTTCAGTTAATTAACACCTGTGCGCTGGCTGCTGCAGACTGAACCACTTCAGTCACACTTTTGTGAGCCACAGCCGTGTGCGCTGACGCAAAACGGAAGTGGCACTTGGCAGGAAAGCCAGGCAGAGAGCAGCAGCTAGCAGCAGCGGAGGCTGCGAGCGTATCGAAAACCGAAACTTTTGATGGAAAAAGTTTGCAACAACAAACGCATTCTGGGCAGTCTGATAGAGAGAGCGAGAAAGAGCAAGTGAGAGAGAGAGAGGGGGACAGAGAGCGGAACTTGAGCGAGAGCGCGGTGGGGTGGGGCACCTTAAGACAGTCTAGAAAGTCGCTATAATTCTCGCGCAGTGCCTCATGAATTTTGATTTTACAGTTTCATCTAGATTTTTTGCTTTCGCTTTAAGCACGGTCTTAGATTTGAATAATGAGAGGTGCGCAAAATGGGGCTTAAAGATTAATGTGCTGCAACGCTTTAAGCGTGAGCCAGCTAAACAAATTCATACCTAGATAAGAGCCCAAAACAATTGAAAAGTGCGAGCCCCCAAAAACTTTTGGTCCCAGCAAAAAAACAAAAACCAAAAATACAAAAAAAAAAAATAAGAAAATACAAATTTGGAGAAAGAAAGTTGGCAGCAAAGTGCTCGTTGAATTGTGGCCGAGGGGCGGTGCACAGCCAGCAGCATGACAGGCCGCCATGAAATACGGCGCACAGTTGCAGCTACTGGCCTCCTGGCCAACTTCCTGGCAAGGCCGCAAGCTCTCGCTCTCTCTCCCTCTCTCCCACTCTCTCGCTCATAATTCATAGTCCACAGGCCAAGCGCTCAGCTTCTGCGGTCATATTATATATTTCTTCAGGCACCCCCCTGCCCGGCGTCGCCAACGAATCGAATTGAATGTCAGCAAATGCTTCAGTTGTGTCTAATTGCTAAGCAGCTTTCAAAAGCAACAACTCCTGCTCTGATCATTCCGCATCTGTGGACGTTGCAATATGGCCTTTGCATGTCTCACGGGCTTTCGTTCCGTATTATGCAAAATGCGCAATTGCTAGAAGAAGTTTTGTCACTTGAGAAAAGAACTAAGAAAAAATGCACTAGAGCTGATTGAACAACGAGCAGATGCTCTGTAAAAAACTATCGATATTTGATAGCTCGATGACATACAACAATCGATAGTCAAACAAATGCTCAATAAACTATTTACTTACTTTAAATACTTGCCTTAATATATTATTGATCAGCTCAGTTACACATCTGTAAATACATATACCCCTTATGCCACTTAGACGACCTACAGGGTATGCAAATAAAATAAAGAGAAAACAGAAGCAAAAAATGCAGCAGGGGCAAGTTTTTGCCAAGCAGTAGCCGCAGCCAGAATGCTGATGACTTTGGTAACAACTTAAATTGTTTGGCAGCAATGGATCCATGTAGTCGCCCCGAGGATAAAGTTGAAATGCGTTTAGGGACTGTCGATTTGTCGGTCAACTCGTGCTGACCCGCGCACTCACTTGAAAATGCAATTCTGATTATGTGCACGGTAAGCATATTTATTTTGCCAGCCTGGAGTGCATGAACGATATTAGCAATACGACAACAATGAAACAATTGTATAAGACGCAAAATAGAATGCCCACTTGGCTCCAGCTTAGCGACCTGAGGAAGTTATTCGCTTTGCACGTGTAGAATCTTGTCGCATCTAAGTCTTCAGACAGCTGCAAGATCGCCTCGCCGTCAGCGTCCAATTGGCCCACATCAATGATCACCTCTGGCTGCTCCTGCTGCTCCTCGCACTCTATGGTCTGCTGTAGTAAAATTTCACGGCTTTCACTTGTGAAAAACGAAAAATAAACAAAGTAAACAATGAAATACAACAAAATTAATATGAATGCACTTTAACTACCACATGTTGCAGCAACAAAATCGAAATCTCTGGCGCGTTGTTATCAGCTTTAAGGCAACTGGCAAACTGATCCAACATCGCCAACTGCCACCAATATTTTGTATATACATATGAATATGTATATTATGATTGCGCTGAGTTTCAATTTCAATTGCCGGCAACAAACAAAAGTCAGCAAATATCATTCCAAGAAGTCTTTTTCTCAGTTTTTGTTTTACTCCGTCGCAGTTTATCCCCTCTAAACTATGTGCTCGAAATGTATACAAGATGGTTATTATGTATTGCCTTCCAGCTGCTGGGATATTTTGTACATACAATGTGGCAGACCCCATAATGTATATATATTCTTGATCAGGGCCACAAGTTGAAATTTGAAATTCTGTTTGTGAATCCGAGTTTTACATGCGCAGATCGAATGAGTTTCTTTAGAGCTAGAGTTTTAAAATTTTAAATATAGAGTCATGTGTATTTTATAGAATTTTGATTTTTGTTAAGATACACCCATCTCAACTTACCAACTTCTTACGCTGGTTGGTTAGGGTTTACCTTACAAAAATATCTAAAAATTAATTAACTTAACTAAAGCACAATCCTTATCAACGTTTACATATCCATGACGAATCGATTTCGGTTAACTGCCTCTGATTAAATTGAAATTTCTGAACGATCGATGACTAAATTAAAAACCCATTTTAAATATTGGTTTCACAAATATATGTAAATAAAATATAATACATAATTAGTATTCATTGCATTCATACTTTACTAATAATTGTATTCTGTGTCAACATAGAACATAAATTATGAATGTTGTTTATTCAACATGCTGAATATAACTATTTTAATGAATTCCAAACAACAAACAACATATGTAATCGGTGATTAAAATGTTTGACACACACATTCACACTTACAGTTATATTGTTATATACTTTCAATGAGCAATAAAAATAAAGCCAATCGTAAATATGAAAAGCAAATATTTATGCGGCGCAAATACAAAAATTTACTGCGTGTAATCAAGCTTAGTGGGGTGGAGAAGTGTGAGTGTGTGAGAGGGAAAATGTGTGTGTGTGTATGCAGAGGGTATTGTAAATGGATAGAATGATCGCTATATGAAGGCAGATGTAAGGCAGTTCACGGTGATGACTTGGATATACCCTGTAGCCACTGTTATAGTTAATTTTGATATTAAATTAATGTTTTAACAGAGAGCTAAGTATAAGATTAAAAAAATTACACGATATCTTAAAAAAAAAAAAATGATTATAAAAATTTTTTAATATTTTTTGAGACATTAAAAAAAAATATATTTTTTGTCTTTATTTTATTTGGTACGTATTATTTTAAAAAATATATATTTTTTAGTATAGCTTTAATATTATTAAGTATATAAATAAAACACAATATTCAAACCCTTAAAAGCCTCAGTCAAGTTGACACACATAATATAATTCAGTTATCTCTGTCTCATTGAGAATTTAATTGATTACAAAAAATATGTTTGTTGGGTACTCCAAAATCTCAAGTGGGCTACTGTTACAAGCAATGAATCACTGTCAATTTGTTAAATCTAATAGTTTGTTTGAATGCTTTTAATTTTTATCAGCGCTCAGTGAAGTTTTGATATCCAGTTGTCGATTGACGGAGAAAAGAATGATTGCATAAAATGAAATGGGTATATTAGTTAGCTGTGCCTGCCCTATGACCCATTCATCCGTCAGCATACACCCTTACAATTGAGAATATATACTTGTACATACCCTTGCTTATCCATGAATCCAGTATCATCAAAGCTCTAAGCAATCAAGTATAGAAACATGAGAGCTCTACGCTCCAATTACACGCCGCGGGAGACCATGACAATGGAGATAAGTTATTTTTGGAACAATATACATATGTTTATTTGTAAGAGGAATGTTGCGTTTGCTATTTGACATTTCCAATAAAAGGCGGCGAGCAGCCCAGCAAATCGAGAATATTTTTTATATAAATATAACTTTGTATATAAAGGAACTAATATTTGTATATATTATGTATTATGTGTGTGTATTTTGTACATGATTCTATAAAGCCACAGATAGTGTCAAAGTATAAGAAGAAATTGACATTGTTATAGCTTCACATGAATTAAATAATATTAATACATACATAAGAGGTAAATCGTTATCGTTATCAATGAGTATCAGTTATTCTTAAACACTAAACGAGTATTAGGTAGTCAGTTGAGGTCATTTACAATATTCTCAATTGTAGCCAGAAAAAACACTTAACACAAAGTTCACTACTCTATACTTAATTAAGTAACAAATAGATAACTGCGACTGAAAACCTTGAAAATAAATAATTTTAATTGCTGGCTCACCTAATCAGAACTTATCTTCAAAGATCTTTTGTTTTAAGCTTCAAGCTTTTCCACCGATTTGGCGCCCTTTGGCTTTAAGTACGCCGACACAGCGCGGGTGCGTCACAAAAAATTTGATTTGTGTATTTGTTAGAAACCATCAAACAAACAAAAAAGAAAAGAAAATACATGAAACGGATTTCATTCATGATGAAAGCAAATACGCTGAATACAACAACAACAAACAGCAATGCGAGAGAGTCAACAGAGCTGGGCAACAAAACGCAACAATTTTGTTTACAAATAATAACAAAAAACCCCTAATTAGTACACTTAGATATTTATTGTTGGGCGGGAGCTGCTGAAGCGTTAGAAATATATTGAAGTCATAATTGATAAGATTGCACTTTTGTAAGTGCCTCGAGCGTGGAACATCGAACTTCAAACGTCGTCGAATCGTTCTCTCGGTCGTCTCAGCGTCTTATCTTATCTGAGTCACACACAAAAAAAAAAATCCATATATATGAACACATTTGTCAGCGCTGTTGCTGTTGCTGTAGCTGTTGTTGTTGCCACAATTAACACCTTTGGGCTGTGATAATGAGGCAGACAACAACTGCGACTTCGACAGCGACAACGACAACGACAGCGACTGCGACTGCTCAGCCGCACCAGTCGTTACAGTCGCACTAGAGAATACACCAAACGCCATCGGAATTTCGTTAGTTAAAACACGAACGCCTTACGGCATGGACGGCACGGACGAGAAGAAGGCGGCAGCAACGGTGTCGCAGAGCGCTCACGATGAGATCGACTTTACCAGCGGCTTCGAGACACAATATCACAAGGAATATAGCCCGCTGAGACCGAAGAATGTGCCGCCGCCGGACAAGCGAAATGCCTGGTATCGCAGCGCTTCCACGATCATGATGATCATATTCCTGGCGCTCGTTTTTCTGCTGGGCACCGTGATGCTGGTGGTAATGGTATTTACAGCCAGTCCACTGCAGGTGTTACTCATTGTGTGCGTCTATGTGGTCATAGCGGCGCTGATGATCTGGATTGAAGTGAACAGCATTAAGGTGCGGTGATTCAAGGAACACCACGTGCTGCTCCTACGCTCAGCGCCAGTGCAATGAATATTCCCATCTATGTGATTTTTGAATGGTTTAGCAAATTTCTCGGCTCCTAAATGTTATTTGAAAGTTATCATGAAAATAGAAAAAAAATATATACGAAAAGACTTTTGCTGATTATAGCATTTCTTAGTTAATACTGATAGCAACTAGCTTTTAAATTGAAAAAAAAAAGAATAATAATAATAATAATAATAAAAAATAAAATTCGATTAAAATATCAAAGAAATAATTTGGACTTCGCTGCATAGCTGTATATTTATTTATATTTATTAGTATTCCTGTGAACTTAACACTAATATTGAGGCAACTTGCTTTATATACAATCCTACTAAGTGCAATAAAAACGTTTCTTATGACCAATAAACAATTAACATCATAAAGCATTCATAAAAATGTGCTCTACACGACCTGAATTTCAAGAAAACTTGTGAAACTCTCTCAGTGCGAGGCAAACCAATGCAACGACATTGAGATGTAATTGGAACAATGACGAAATTGTTGACACTAAACTTCAACAATCATACGAGTGGTGTAAAAGTATAAGCAATAATAGTTTTATCAAACTCAGTGTTATTGAAAGGTCGACTGTGGACTTAAATAAATGATGGAGATAAAAAATAGATCTAAGAGTCTTATATTTATATTCAAGAAATGTTTTATTATGGAAACTGCATAAATATACATATCATCTGTAACATTCAATTGATTCAGCTTTTATTTTGATATTATATCCATCTCAGTATCTCTGCCTCCCTCTCTCTCTATCTCCCTCTCTCTCTCTCTCTCTCTCTCTCTCTCTCTCTTTCTCTCTCTGTCTGTCTCTTTATGTATATCAGACATAATTCAAAGAGCAATCAAAATAAAGTAAGTCATAAATATCAAAAACAAATATGTATTTAGTTTGAGGTGATATCTATCTCAGTCTCTCTCTCTCTTTTTCTCTCTCACCCTCTCCCTCTCTCGCTCCCTCTGTCTTTTTATGTTTGCAAGATTACATAGTGATTCAAGTATAAGCAAATGACTCAATTCAATAGAATCTATCACTGTTGCTGGGTCAGATTTGAGGTCATAGATAATATTTATTATTATTATTAATCAACACTTAGCAGGGCTTAACACACACAATACAACTGAACTCTGACAGTATATTTATACCTAGAACTTCCCGGATCAATTATAAAAAGACTTTATTGCCGAAACCTTTGTGATTCCATTGCTCTATTTTTTAAAGTTAGCAATTCGAACAATTCATAGATTGAAAATCCAGTCAGTTGGTCAAGTCTCTTAGATACAAAGCCATTATACCTTGAATTTACATTTTTAAATCAATTCGGAATTTTTATTGACTGTTAACTTTCAGCTTTACTTTACACTGTCTGTTTCATCGACATTGTATAATACTAAGAGAAAGCCAGAAGAGAAAACAAATTTGAGTAACAATTTAAAAATACGAAATATTTTGCAGAAATCCGAACTTGTAAATGAAAAATTAATCTAGATTATAAACTGAAAATTTGAAGGCTCACTTATCATGCCTTTATTTATGATAATGTTAAAGTGCAGCAGAAACTTGCTCAGCCACTTAAACTTTAAAGCACTACAAATCCCTTAATATCTGTCTTAATGAAACGAAAGCAAAACAACCGAATCTCACGAGCCTTGAATAAAAAAATAACTACAACTTTAATTTCCGGTGGCAAAAAGGTGCGTAGGTGAGGGCAAAGGCCAACAGCTGACTTACCTTAATTACTCACAGAATTTCGGAGCCAGGCTACTTATTTGCACTGTGCACTATGCAAAGTGTGTGTGTGTTTGTGTGTGTATGTGTGGCTCGTGGACAAGACTACGTTCGTGGCGTATTTAATTATAATGGAGAATGCGCTTAGCTTAAGCATTAATGTCCATGCCGTTTGTTGACGGCGATTGCGATGGCGATTGCGTTAACAACGGCAAAGACGAAGGATATATCACCATTTTTTTCTGCCAAAGGCGTGGCTTCTCTTTTTCATTCCATTTTAATACATTTCTTTTCTTTTGGCTAGCTTTTGGGCAAGTGTGGCCATTTAATTAGAGACA